GCACCCGCCGAGACACCTGCTGAAGTACCTCCTAAGGTACCTGCTGATGCCGAAACACCTGCAGAGACACCCGCCGAGGCACCTGTCGAGACACCTGCAGAAGCACCCGCTGAGACACCCGCCGAGGCACCTGCGGAAGCACCTGCAGAGGCACCATCTGAAGCCGCCGCTGAAGTTCCGGTGAAAAGCACCACAACGGCGGCTGCCACAACTGCGGCACCCACTGAAGCTCCGGCAGAATCACCCGCCGAAGCGCCCACTGAGGCTCCTCCTAAGCCTCTAACCGAAGCTCCGGCACCTGAACCAGCGGCACCTGAACCAGCCGCTACAACCGCGAGCCCGGCCACCACCGCAGCGCCCCCCGCCGAATCTCCCGCAGAAACTCCCGTCGAGACTACCGCTCAAGCACCCGCCGAAACTACCGCTGGGAAGCCTGCGGAAACGCCCGCGGAAGCCCCCTCCCAGCCCCCGACGACGGAAGCCTCAAAGGTAACCCCGACCGCGGCGCCTGAGCCACCGGCCACGACCACGAGCCCCCCGACGGAGTCGCAGGCTCCAGCCGGTAAGTTCACGACCCATTTTATGTTATTTTCATCTCCGTTGTGGCCTTGACATCATCTTAAAGACGCCGTTTTGTGACCAGGTGGACCCGCTGCTCCGGGCGAGCAGATGCAAGGGGACCAGCCAGCCCCCGCAGCGCCAGGTACAGGGCGGGGCCCGTGGTGCTGGCGGAACCGAGAACTTTAATCTAGAGCCACTTATTTATATACTATTCTGTCTGTTTTATCTCATGCTCTCCACAGGAACTAAGACCGCAAGTAAGCCTTGCATGCTGGTGTGAGTGCGAGTGTGTTTGTGTATGTGTATGTGTGTGGGTGTGTGTACGCGTACGCGCAGGGGCGAGGGGCTCTTTTTGACGTCATCCCCCCCCCCCTGCCTCGTTCTTTTCGGATGTGTGTCGAGCTGCTCTGTGTGTCCTTGTGGTGGTTGTGGTGTCCTTTATCGTGTGTCTAGCTCATCCGCTTTCGGTGACGGTGAAGTTTATTTCTGTCCAAACGACAATGAATGGGTAATGTGGTTTTCACCTACTTTCTGTTCGGGTCGGATATGATTATTAATCCGTCCCCCCTCCCCCTCCCCTTTTCTAGCTCGAGGCATGGCGTGCTCCAACGACGTGGAGTGCGAGGACCTGGTGGACGGCGCCTGCATCCAGGGCGTCTGCGGCTGCGCGACGGGGACAGTCCCCGCCGTGGCCGCCAACAAGTGCCTGCCAGGTGAGCAGGGTCGCCGTCGTCGTGGACATGGAGGAGGCCGTCACGCGAAAGAGACCATGTTCCACGAGAGGGTTCGTGGAAACTGTATGGGGAAGCTGCTTGATAAAGGGAACAAGAGGGTAGCGCTGGCGCGGTGGAGTAGCGTCCGTTAACAAAGCAGAAGATGAGTGCCCGTCTAGAAGAGGTTAGGTTGCGTGTCGTCCTATTTCAAACAGTTTAAAACGGGTCTATGCATCTAGCACCTCAGAACGACCTTCACCAAGGTTTATCAAGACAGTTGAGTCATTATCATTGAGTATAAAATGTATACCAATCCAATATGTCCGTACACTAACCTAGACAACGACACCGGGACCGTTTAGAAGATTGTGTAAACTTACTTTTCCGAAGCCGCAAACTTGACAGAACCACTTGATGACACAAGCCTCTCCGACAGCATCTAGACTCAATTTGTTTTTACAAATTGTACAAAACTTGGTTAATGATCACACATCCATACTCGCGGCAAAACACAGTATGGTCACATGGTCGCCTGCGGACGGCGCTACGCCACGCCACCTCCTCAGCGCCACCTTTCTTCTCGTCCCTCTTATCAAGAAGCAGCTTCCTCGTTGCTGCTCATCGTCAGCTCTGCCCCGCGTGACAAAGCCTCTTCCTCGACGAGTGTGAGCCGAGCGAGTCCGTGTGGTCCATATGGTCCTGTGGGCTGCGGGCTGCACTGGTGATAGCGCCTGCGACACGCCGGTTAGGCCGGCCCGCCGAGCAGGCGCGTGGAGCCGGCGGCCCGCCCTGAGCGCCCCAGGAGCTCTCTCCGACCCTGCCTTCCTCGCGTCGTCGCCGCCTCGGGGCGGCACGGTCACGACCCACACGGCACCAACCGAAAGCCGGTGCAACTTTTAAAGGGCGAGGGGGTTACTTTTCTCGTGGCTCTTTATTATCTGACATTGAGAAAAGTACCATGCCCGTCCTTGCCTTCCTTCATAGGAAATACGACTTAACTTGTGCGCTGCCTCGGGGCACGGTCACGACCGTCACGAGCCACGGCTCGAACCAAAAGCCGGAGCAACTTTTGAAGGGCGAGGGGGTCACTTTTCTCGTGGCTCTTTATTTGACCTTGAGAAAAGTGCCATGCCCGTCCTTGTCTTCCTTCATAGGAAATACGACTTGACTTGTGCGCTGCCCCGGTCCCCTGTTGCAGTGCTCCGCAGCCTGGGCGCGCCGTGCGTCGAGCAGATCCAGTGCTCCGAGGGCCTGGGCGACCTGGGCCTGTGCCGGGGCGGCGCGTGCGCCTGCGAGGACGGCGCGCGCCTCGGCGCCGACAACAGGTGCGAGTGCGAGGCGGGCCGCGCCGAGGACAAGACGCGCTGCGAGCGGCCGCCCATGCACGCCAGCGTGGCCAAGGTGGCCCAGCGGCAGGAAGGAGGTGAGCATGGATGAACCCACCCCGGGGTACAAATACCATGGCATATTTTTTTTACCCCGGGGTACAAATACCATGGCATATTTTTTACCCCGGGGTACAAATTTCGTGACATATTTTTTAACCCCGGGGAATCATAAGATCCGTTTTGCTGCAGATTGTGGTGTGTACAGCAGCTAATCCATCTTTCTCTCTGTGTCGTTATGCTTCTTGTCTCATGCTCGCCGTTTTCTTCAGGCAAAGGCGGCGCGGCGACACCCTTCTCCTCAGTGCTCACCATCATAGCTGTGGTCTCGGCCTCCCTCTGGACACTCAGTGGCCCGTAGCGTCGCCGAGGGCTAACAACTGCCCACCTCCCCCTTTTCTCAACAAGGGACTTTATACCACTTCTCGAAATCCTGCTTATTACCAAATTCCTTGGTTGGTAAGGACTCGTTCTCTTAGTTAGTCTATTATTTTAGTGAAATGTGTAAGCAAGAGAAGGAAACCTCTATTATTTTGACGGATCAATGGTGTGATGAGTAAAATCACTGAAAGAGAAAAGGCTAGTATTTTACTATGTGATATTGAATATCGTCTAGGGTATGGGGATTCAGGGAATTCCTTAATTTCCAATTGTTAGGCCTACTGTGACACCTTGAATCCTAAGATCTATTTAGCTCATAAGATAATAGAATATTATTCCAGAAGTATTTTTACCGTAAGTTTCATTATATGTGTAATATATTGTACTGTTTGGTGATTTTGTAATGTAAGGGACAGTATAGCATAAAAATAAAAATATTTTGCTTTCTGTTTACAAAAATTAATCAATACCCTTCAAAAAGAGCCAGAAACACTGGATGAGCTGGTATTGAGAGCTTGATCAGAGGAGCATGGATGTAGAATAAAGTGGCACAAACTTTAGCAACATTATAAACAGCAAATTTCTTTATTTTATAAATAACAAAATTTTCAAATTATAATAAGCTTTGTCTTTTGCATAATCATAAATATCTGATGATAAGTCTCTAAATATATCAATAAAAATAGCTATACTTTTATGTACACATACTTGAGCTATTTGCAACAACAAAAATGGAATTTAAATAGGTACAACAACTAGTATCACGTAAAACTTCTCTACATACTTTTGCCATATATACAAATTTACAACTCTTATTCTGATAACAGAACGCATGACATGTACATGTATTTGTTTTTACAAAATGAGGATTTGATAACATGTTATACCATTTGGAGGCACAAATAATTTGAACTTAAATAAGCAAAGCTTTTTTAAAGCAATTCATATCGTAAATAGATCATAGATAAAAGATATAAAAGATAGCACGTCACAATTAATGTTAACAGTTTTCAATGTAATCACAGACTTAAATGTCATTGTTTGTGTGAGATCCACTCAATTGAAGATTTTAAGTGCAGACCCAAGAGTAGGAAATGAGTTCTAAAGTATATTCTGAGATCTTGTAAACAAACTTTCTTGTTTTATACTAGGGATTCTCTACTGGCCCCGGAACATGTCAAATATTTCTTGCAAGTCCCCATGAGGTTTGTTTGTCTGCTGTTGGGAACTCTGTTGCTGTTGTTGCTGCTGTTGGACTTCAGTTGCGAACAGCTTCCCACTTGCAAGGGTCTTTGTAAGGATTGGATAGTCCATAACACCCGTACTTGTTGATGCAGTTGTAAAAGTCATTTGGTGAGGACTTGTTTGAGCCTGGGCTTGTGCTTGGGACTCAGCCTGAACCTGGGCTTCAACTTGCATTTGTACTTGTAGTTGCTGAGCCTGTACTTCAGCCTGAACTTGTGCTTGCAATTGGGCTTGAGCTTGCATTTGTTGCACCTGCTGCACTTCAGCTTGAACTTGAGCTTGCATATGAGCTTGTGCTTGCATTTGCGCCTGAGCCTGTGCATGCATTTGGGCTTGTACCTGAGCCGCCTGAACTTGCGCTTGTACCTGTGCTTGAACCTGGGCTTGCACTTGTGCATCGACTTGCATCTGTGTCTGAGCCTGCAAGCTAGCTTCTGTTTGGTTGTAAGAACTTGACATTACAAGAGGCTTGTCCTTGTTGTATGAGCTCGGCGTAGTGATACAGTTTCCTGGAAGCTGCTCATTTGATGGTGCCTGTGTGATAACTAATGAATTGGTTTCGTTTGGGAGAAGTGTCACATCAGAATTAGTAATATTGAGAAGAGGAGCGGCTGAAGAGTTGCTGCAGTACTGTTTCATTTCAGGCGAATGGCTTGCAGTTCCTTGGTAGAGTGGCACAAGATTTGGACAAGATGGGTTCATTTCCATACCAGTGTTCTCCCTTTGAAATATTTGAGAAAATGACAAATGGGAAGGATTTTTGTTCCGATGCTCCTCTTGCGCCATGAGTGCAGCGTTGCTTGCTTCATCATGCAAAATCTGGGCCAACTGCTGGGCAGCTGATGTTTTTGTATCTACAGCATGATTACTAGCCTCGTCTTGCAACATTTGGGCTAATTGTTGTGTTTCGCGATTGTTATTTGCAATCATCTGGACAATATTCGTTGTTGGAGTTTGTTTAGGCTCTAGAGGATGGTTACTGTTTTCATTATGCATTAGGTTGAAAGATTGGGATAGTGATACTTTTACATCCCTTCCATGATTACTGTGATCTTCTTGTAATATTTGTGCAAACTGCTGGGCTGATGATGTCTGGACATCCATAGCATGGTTGCTCTGGTTGTCATGCAGCATTTCTGCAAACTGATGGGCAGCTGATGGTTTTACTTCCATAGCATGGTTGCTTCTTTCATCATGGAGAAAACACCCCATTTGCTGGGCAGCTGATACTTTCACATCCCCTCCATGGTTACTCCTCTCATCACACATAACTTGGGTCATTTGTGAAGCATCCTTACTTGCTTCATCATGAAGCATTTGTGCAATTTGTGCATGTTTATTAGTTTCCTCTTGTATAAGGTGAGCCAGATGCTGAGCACTGTTTGTTGGCTCACTACGCATCATGTGATTCAGCTGTGAATTAGAAAGTCCTGAAAAATGAAGGATGGCATCTGGCTTTCTGTCGGGTGAATGATTACTACTTTCTTCATGAAGAGCAGGTTCTGATACAAACTGAGGAGGAGATTCTGAGTTCAAAATTGATTTCTGAGCAATGGGTGATGTATTACAGGGAGCGGGATAGGGTGATGAGTCTATAGGGGCTGATGGTCTCGAAATAAATATATCCTGTGTGGTGACTGGTGCAGAATACACTCCCAGCATATTGTCCATAGGAGCGGGGCCAGTGGGAGGAGGGCTCAAGTATGAGTCAGCTTGCGAAGAATCCAGCATGGATTGCACTTGCACTTGCATTGGAATTGGCAAATTTTGGTCGTGTCTTCTGAGCAACTCTGGCGATTTAAGTGGCTCTAAAGGAGACTGTTGTTGAGGTGATTGTTCCTGCTGTTGAGGAGAATGCTGCTGCTGTGGAGGTGATGATTGCTCTTGCTGTCTTCTCTGTTGCTCAAGGACCATCTTGTCCGTCTCTAATCGGTTGAGAAAAGTTTCCACGCTTTGCCCACTTTGAGTCGGTAGGCAACCTGAAGCTTCGGCAGGCCGCATAAATTGCTGAAGAGTTGCCATGGAAGGTCCTTTCATGGAGGTCATGCGTAGATCTACACCATGCAGATGTTCTGCTGAAGGAGGAGGTGGGGGTGGCATAGCAGTACTGTCCATTACTGCATTTGTAATGGGAGTCATTATAGGCTCGTCAATGACTTCAGTTTTAAGTGCTGGTAGTGGATCTGGGACGATCAGAGGCGATCTACAAGGTAGAGCCGTTGAAGGTGGCATAAAGTCCTTAGCCTTTTCTTCTTTCATTGTGGCGTTTGCTGTCCACAACATACTTTGATGAACCTCTTCTTTCGTGGGACTTGTACCTTTAAAAGAGAAAATAATATTGAGCAAAATTTAATACAGAGTCAATACTCTATGACTTCACAAAATGCATCAGCAAAAATAAACTGTGATACTCACTATGAGAAGGTGCAAAGGGCATCATCATTGGAGGAGGCACTACCTGCGCAGCCACAATCGATGATGGAGGTACACAGCCTGAGACGAGAAGGTTGGAGCTGGAGTAACTGCGACTTAATTCCATTACTAAGCAAAAACAAAAACAAACAAAAAATTAGAAAATGGTTTATTTAACAAAAAAAAAATTGTGCAACATAATATGATTTGAGTAATTACAGTTATGCATATGTATTAAAGTTTACTCACCTGGAGTAATACCAGAGTCTGAAGATGAAGTACAGCATTTCCCAACATCTGTTGCCGTCACTGCGAGTAAAAAAATACAGCTATAGCGGCTACCTCTTAACTTCAATGAAAATGCAAAACACACTGCTCCTCCTGGAATAAAACTGGTATATGCCATCGCAAACTAATGCATGAAAATCTTTTTCTTTTTTATTAGATTATAAAATTAATTGAATCTTAGAAATGATAGGTAGATATAAATTTCAATAAATTCTCTAAGTGCATGTTGTGATGGCATTTTTCACAGTGCTTGTGCAACATTAGTCTCATTCAGCCTCATTTACTCGCCACACACACACACCCTGTATGACTATATGGGCTCAAATCTTCCCAGAATGTATTTGGACAATCATTCGTTAAACCATGCACACACACACACACATACACAAAAATAATTAATCCTCTGTGGTGCTTTCTTTCAAAGCAAAAAAAGTAAAAGGGTAATAATAAAAATTTGTATCATCCTTGTTAGGCCCTTTACATTACTTTCATCAAGTCCTTAAAATGCTGATATGGTTTCAGTTTCCGTCCAGACATTTAGACCTTCATGATGATAATTAAACAATAAGCACCAGTACACACATATACATGTATAATAGATATTGATCAAAGAAATTTCCAAACAGTTGTGGAAAATGAAAGTTCGTCTCTGAACTTCAGATGAAACCAAATTCACAGAAGATTCAATATAAGTATTGTATGGACAAGCCTGATTTGCTTCAAAGTAATAAGTCTACACACAAGCACTGTGACTCAAAGGGTTATGGGGAAAGTGATCAGCGACACCTGAAAATAATAAGTATTAGTGATAGGTCCTCGGTGCTCTTCTGCAGCTCTGCACAAACTGCCAACAGATAAATGACATAGGCAGGAACAAACAGCATAATATCTCTGGTAATTCACACAAAGAAATTAAAAATATGCATTAAAAGTAGATGTCACTACGCTTTTCTTTTTTTTGAAATTATGCAAAATGATAACTTTATGAAGAATGAAAATATTTTACATGGAATGAGAGGGGCAATGAATAAATGCCATGCACTTTTTATTTAGAAATAGCTTCTTTGGCAAATTCATTACTGAATAAGAGAACCTGGTTTACCACCAAGAACTAATACGTAAATGAAACAGGCATTCCATTTCTGAGGAATTTCTGAGAACTAATATCAACAAAAGAAACTTTGACCAAAATTCATTTAACTACAAATTGAAAACAGAAGTTTGCAGATAACAAAATCATCATTGTTTTCATTAATTTTTTGATGAAGGGTACTTACCTCAAACCTCAGAATCAAACTACTTTGACATTATTTAAGATTTTCATAGACATGTTGACAGTGAAAAGAAGGAAGTGTTGGAGAAATTATAATCTTTTAACCCATATTATCAGTTATTTAATATTGATTTACATTGTACATTGACATTTAAAAACAAGTAAGACCCAAGCAATGTCCAACACCCTTGAACAAAATTTTTGAGATTTTTTACTCCGTTATGAAAATGGCCATTGAGGTATTATGTAATGAAGCCGATCAAACATGAACGGCAAATGAATTTAAGCATGCTTTTCCAAGACAAAAATGTTATGTAATGGACAGATATGAGTTGTAAGTGAAATAAGTTGAGTTGTGTAAGAATAAGTGTGCAAATCAGTGATAACCACAATGGGCGATGACAGAACCTGTCACATATGCGATCGCGAACTCTGCATGGGGGCTACCCCGACCGTCTCTCACAGGCCCCGCGCCAACCTGCTACCTGTAAACCTGTGGCTGTGGACGAAGGAACAAGCAAACACTGTCAGCAGCACAGCACATTTACACCAAAAGATATGACGATTGTAAACCACACTGATGGAAGTCATAATTATTCACTGTGTTTGAGCAGTGACTTTCAAATGTTGAATAAATAAATTTAAGAAACTGTGAGAAAAGGACAGCATGTTTCAGTATATCCAGCTTGTTTTGAAAAATATATTTATTTTTGGCAACAAAACTGGCTGGTCTCTCTGGATTACTTTTCAGAAATGACAAGTGAAGTGGATAGTAATGTAAATGACGGAAATGTATGTATGATTTTTTTTTAAAACTCGCAAACTGTAAAAAAAAAACTTCCAAAAGCAAGCTTACTATGTGGAGCACGCAAACAAACAGGAGTTCTCATCTACCGGTAGCATTAAGATTGATAAACTAGCATAAGTTACGTAAGTCTGTAGGAAAAATGGCACCTAGCAATAATATAAAAAATGTAGACACAGACAATGGACGCAACTCAAATGAATTTAAATTGTAAAATTTTCACGAAAAGCTTTGAGAAAAGTTCAATGCTTAGTTTAAAATATTTGTATAGATAGATAGAAATTTAAACAAAAAAAAGAAACTTAGTCTACTGTTTGTATGACCAGCTATGCTCCACATGATTTTTTGAAAAATGAAAAAATGGCAAATGTGGCAAACTCCAAGAAGCCAAATAACTTCCCAAAGCATATTGCATAGAGCTCCATGAATTGAATTTTCTACAAACAGAGAACTGCATTAAGTCCCATCACTGGAAAATAAGAGTTAAGCTCATTTGATATGTTATATGTTTGAGGCCCATATGTAGCCAATAATTGATTTCACAAAGATAGTTTCTCAAACATGTTCCTACCAAATGAGATAAGACTATTTGGTACACAATCTCCCATTTCCCCAAAAAAGACAAACTTGTAATGTCTCCACAAACCCATGTGCCCATTGGCCAGGCAGACACTCACAAACACCCACACGTTCGAGCGCGCACACACACAAAGACTCACATTGAGAAACATACACCCGCGCTCACACACCGACACACACCCTCGAGCTGGCGCACACACGCACACATACACAGGACACATACACAAACACATAGCTTGGTGACTTCTAGAAAATGGATTCCCCAAAATATATTAGCATATCTTTTGGAGTTTGACACAGTTCAAAAATGAAAATTAAGTCAAACCTCAAACTTCTTGGATTAAATTTGCCACATTTGCACGAGATAAATTAAAAGAAAAAATTACAAACAGACAACAGTCACATTTGTCCTGGGTTATAAAAAAAAAAAGGCTTGAAATTAAATTTAACATTAAAAAAAAATAAAAAATAGAGTGGAAAGTTTGAAACAACAAAAGTGACTGTTGCTTGTATGTCACAATTCAGCACTAGTTGAAGGCCAAAAGATTAAGGCCTATTATAAAGAACTTTGAGAAAAGTTACTGAAGAGGAACTTTAACTCATTTACTCAACAACATGCTCAGCTACGGGTCACTGCACTCCATTAATAGGATAGAGTAAACTACGAGAAGAAAAGGAAAGTTCAGTTCGAAAGAATGACTAATAGCTTCACAGAAGGAAGCAAAAAATGTTTTTCTAAACAGCACAATAAGATCACTTGTATCAGAAAAGATATTGAACTGGTAACTTCTTTGAAAACTGAATTGGTATAATAAACCTAACTGAGGACTTTGACACGTCTGTGTAAGAAATGAACTTCATTTCAACTTT